TCACCCTCTTAAACATTTTTGTTTAGGACTCCCTTTTGTCTTTCAAATTGGAGGTATTCAACATGATCAACCATTTCGACAATGCAAATGTCACTTACTTCACTTTCAACCATTTCGACAATGCTAATGTCACTTACTTCACTTTGCAAAATCAACCATCCTAAATTTTGTCAAGCTTCATGACGCCAATGCAATGGGAAATATATAGAAGGAATTATAATGCAATCTTTGTGGAAAAACACTTAATATATGACGACAAAGAAACCCCCAAATTCAAAATGCTCACAACTACAAGTAGCGACGCAGCCTATGATGACGCGGCAAGGCGCGGCAGGGCATAGTGACGTGCAAACAGCAGGGTAATCTCCTATATGATTTGCTGACAGTTTTTAACATCTTTTGAGAGTCCACGTGGCGGCATGCCAGAAGAAGAACGTGTGCTAACATGGAAGGGCGGTTACAGACCAAGAAAAGTGGCATTTCATGGGTTTAAGGTCTTGGGAAGATAGTTATAAACGTGGCTGAACGTGGCTGGAACTGCCTCTTCAGCCGCGGCTGTGGAGACTGACGCGCTAAAGGCCGCGTCAGTGATGGCTACCACGCCCAAAGAGAAGATGACTGGTCAGTTATCTTGCTTCCATTTCCACATTTATGCACTCATATCTCTATAAATACCTCTTTACACACGAAACCAAGGACAGAGAGCAGATTAGAGCAGATAAGCTTGGACATTTTGACGAATTTTGAGCAAGAGAGAGAGAGTCTTGATTCCTTAAAAACACTTCCAAGAATCTTTCGTTGATTCCTAGATATTTAAGCCTTAACTTAATCTTTGGAAGAGTGAACATCTTACATCAATAAGATATTCGCTTTAAATTCTAACCTCGATAAACGAAAAAAGAATCCTCAAAGCCTTTCATAATTCAATCAGAATCTTGTGAATCGGTAGTCCACGAGTTAACGCACTCCCGGAACAGGCAAAGTCCCCACAAAAGCAGGAGTTGATAAACGATTCCTGTGTTATTTTCTAGAGAGTTATAATTTTCATATTTTGTTGTGTAATTCATTGTAAGCGATTGAAGTTTTTAATGGATTCCATTTCAAAATCAACTTTCGACGAAAACAGTCGGTCTATAGGATTTGATGCCACTGTAGAATGGAGGAATAATCACCGGAAAGAGATGAGCGGGAAAGATTTTGAGTTCTCAAAAGGAAATTTCAAAAGATAACCGCCATCTCCATGGCTCTGGCTCTATATATAAGCAGCTGAATCCGCAACTGTCGGAATCTGAATGGTTGGATCATGCTTTGGCCAACGACCAAGATTAATTCTTAGAATCAGAAGCGACACCTCAAGGATTGAGGTGCAGCCCACTCACCTCGAATAGCCCACAACCAGCTACGAAAAAAGGAGCTGTGGCAATCAAAAAAAATGTGTGGTGACGTCAGCCACATAAAATATGAAAAGACTTTTTAGTTTCCTTATTTAATGCACACCCACGTCCATCCAAAAGCTACTTTCATTTCACTCAGACTCGACCCAAGCCGACTCCAAGCGAAAGGAGCCAGCTGTTATGATGTTCTTAGTCGCCAAAGTACGACCCTTTGCTAGCAATAGACATGTGTCCCTCTACATGCACCGCCCAAACCAAATTGACAGTCAGGGCAACCAAGGATCCTAACTTAGCTGACCGGTTGATTCGACATCTCCTTAAGTTAACTAGAAAGGACTTGTTAGTTCTCTTTGTTATACCCTAGAGGGGGGTGATTAGGGTCTTATGCTAATCTAATCCGATTATATGCCAATTAAAAACTAATTAATAAGTTATCCTAGCAAGTATGAAATATAACAACTATATATAAGCTAGGATAAGCAATATGAACAACAAAGAGGTATATCCTATGATATATGCAAGGATATGAAAACTAACACAAGGGTAAACAATATGAACTAGATAGTGGATCATATAAATAATGAGCTAATGACAATGGCGATATAAGATATGAGCATGAATATAAATGAACGCCAAAGCACACTCAAACACACTATATGATCACGGAGTTCGGACCTTCCGTCCTACGTCTCCGCTACAATCTCTCACAACCCTAATATACTATGTATGCAAATACAATAAGCTCAAGTGGGTGTGTGTAACAATGAGATAAAATCAAATCAACTAAACTCAATATAAAACTAGCTTTAATAGAAATAATAATTGACAAATAATAAATGAAAGCTAGAGTAGAAATTAGAAAACTTCTCAATGGAATACAAGATGGAGAGATGGAAATTGGAGCCCAAACAAGAAGATGATCTCCTCCACTTGTGAAAACTTCTTCACAAACAAAACAAACCCTTAAACACACTTAAACCCTTGTTTAAAACTTGTTTAAAAACTTCTTGGATCCTTTGAAAAGAGATCAGCCACTTGCGTATTATACTCCACTTGAATGTCTCACCAAACCTCAAACAGGAAAGACCAAAAAGGCCCAGCAAAAACCAGCTCACGAAATAGCCTTGAAAGTCTTAAACGCTCTATTGACGGTCGAACCGACAGAACTTTCGTCGACCGAAGAAGGATTCGATCGACCGACGGAAAATGCGGTCGAACCGTGAGCAGGTATTGGAACATGAGAAACACAGAGACAGTCGGTCGGCGACCCGATACGGTCGACCGATCTAAAAAATTAAGCTTTCGTCGAACCGGCCGGTCGACGACACTCTCTGGACAGCTGAGGAAAGAACCAACTGACTCGTCTGATCGGTGCGTCGCCGAATACTGATTTAACTTCTGAAAAACACGTTGAAGCTGTATATCTGAGTTGAAACACTGGTTTAAAAATATCAAATAAATTCCAAAAAATGTAAAACTTTGGGGAATGATTGTAGACATGATAATAAACATGCTATAGTGACTGGTTTCGAAAAAGGACTTCCCAAATAAAAAATATCATCATTTTACAAAATAGTCCAAAACATGAAAATATGAGATACTTGAATTTTGATGTTTTGACATAAACCAACTTTTGAAACTTTGTGAAATATTTTTATAGACTTAGTAAAACATGTATAAACTGATATTGAAGTCTATAAACTAAGAATACAATATTTTCACAAAATTGCATATTCTATGCAATGTTTTCAAAAACACAATAGAAAATATAAAATATATAATTTCATATATATAATCATAAAAACTCAAAACACATGTATGTATATATAACTATATATATGCATAGAAACCAAAACTTATATATATATATATGACTATATATATATATATATATATATACGAAGAAACCAATAAAATATGTGTGTATAGATATTGAGCTTAACGTACTTAACACACATAATATAAATTCCTAAACTAAATTACCCAAGCAATCTTGATCTTCAACGAA